TCTTTGTTTTCTTTAGTATTTTTTTTATCTGTCTCTGTTATTCTTTCTTCAATACAATCCATTATATTATATACTGAGGCTATCAAATTTATGTTACTTGTCGAGGTTCTTATTATGAAAATTTCAATTTTATTTTTCCTGCATTTCTGTTTCTTCATGAAATTCCAGTTTCATATGCTATATTGACCTTCTTGTTGCACTCAACTCTTTATTTTTACTCTTCCTGAGTTCTTTCAGGATTTTACTTCTCTCCTCTTTTATTAAACATCCTATTAAAATTTGATATATTTTTATGGCATTTTAACTAATTCACTATCACTGTGCACAAGTACTACCATATTTTCCATGGGAAGGAGGTCATATTTCCTTGATTGTCATCTTTCTTGTTCTATTCCATTGAGATTATGCATCCGTTTTTATTTATTTTTTGATTGGATTTAATCAATATTTTTATTGCAGTGAATATTTTCAGTATTCAATTAATAGAATTTATATGCATAGTTTGGAATTTATATCTGCAGTCATGTACTCATGATGCCTGATACAAACAAACATTTGAATATTATCCGTAGAATCAACCACACTGCTGGATAGAATTCCTATGAAAATGTCTTTCTAGCCAATTAACAGCAGTGATACTTTTAACTTCAATAATTATTGGAGTACTAACACTCATGGATAATATGGCATGTGGTAAAGAATTAATAAGAATACAAGAAAAAGGGATGCCGTCTGGGTAATGATAAGAATTAGTGTTAGACCAATTGGAAGAAAATTAAGATTAGAAAAAAAATATATCTGTGAGCAGAGCATTGGGATATTGTTAGTTTCTATGGTATTAAACAATTTTAAGGTTTTGGAGAGTTAAAGTTGAAAAGAAAAAAGTTGTGGCAGGGGAGACAAAATATAAAAACAAGTGGGAATTAGTGTGAAAATACATGGGTTGTATATAATACAATACATTATGTATATAATACATAATAGTACGATGGGTTCAAAATAATACAAAACAATCACACAAACTGAACAATGTGTGGCCTAAGGCAAAACCTTCACAAAGTATTTATTCATGAGTTAAGATTAAAAGATGAATAGAAAAAAATAAAAATTAAGAAAAGTTTTAACAGTAGAAAAGTGCAATAAAAATTCTTTTGTCCTAGAATGGGTTTGGAATTTTTCTTCCCTTCAAAAGTTTCATGAGGCAAATTGCACTAGTAGGTGAGGGTCAATTTGTTTGTTATTAAAGTAGAAAGCTGTAAAGCCTGATTTTATCTATGTATTGGCCCATAGAGGTTAGTTAATAACACTTTGGATTCAGCATTTGGCACAGCCTCAGTGAGATGAACAGTATTTCTCAGATCCTTCTTTGGTACTCTGTGTGGTTTGGCAACATAGTGCTGGAGAAGACAGTTTGCCATCTCTTGCTGTGGGTTCCCATGGACTATAGCTACAGACTTAGTATAAAGAGTGTGTCAATTGCACTATCACATTTCAACCCCTGGACCCACCCAACTCTCAGTTTTGTGGCAGGCCTTTCTTCAGGCTGTATCACCACACTGGTGTATGGGGAAGGAGGTGTAAGCTTTCCTCCTGCAATTCCCACTTAACCTCAACTGGAACCCTGCTGTGAGAACTAAAGCTTTAGTTCCAAAGCCTCATCTCCAATTGCATATCCAGTCCTTGGTTATCAGCTAACTGTTACTGCAGCTCTGCTGAGTGTGTGTGCTGCAAAGTGCTTCCCTGTGGTTTCCAATTACCTCACCAGAGCCAATTTGTGCAGTTAGGCACCAGTTCACAGCCACTCTTGTCTGCTTCCCCACAGAGATCTCACTTGGCTTAATAAGTCCATTTAGAGCTACTGTCTCTTGCAAGAATAAAGATTGCCCTGTACTCTCCTGTTTTCTTTCAGTGAGTTGCATCATACGATCTCTAATCTGCCAGTTTCCCTAAAAAATGCCTATTCTCATTTTTTTGAGGAAAATCCAAACTATTTTACAACATTCTTATCATAGTGTGCAAGAGTTCTTTTTCTACATCCTTACAAGGATTAAAAACAAAATCTTCAGTATTATTTTTATTACCAATGTTGTTAGGGTCAGGTGTATCTTGTTGCTTTGACTGGCCTTTCCCTGAATAGTGACGTTGAGCATGGTTTCACTTACCCATTGTTTATTTGTATGTCTTCTTTTGGTGAAATGTTGCTTTCAATTTAGTGTATCCTGCTTAAATTGAAAGAAAGATGGGACCCAGTTGTATCTGATCCCAAATGTATTTCTTAGGTAGTCACTGTCACTATACTTTTGAGTGAACAAGTTGCACATACTCATTGAGCTGTGGTTGTCAAGCCTGTAAAATGAGGCTCACAAAAGTGTCTTGATAGGATTGTTGCAAAACAAAACAACATAATATAACTGAGAGTTCTTTACAAAGTACAGACTACCAAATAAACTTAAATTCGTTATATTTAACGTTTTTCCATGAACAGTGTTGCCATATATGTGGCGTGGAAGTAAATGGAAGTCAGAGAGGCATTAAGTCAAAAGGGCCTTTCATCATTATATTCCTTTTATGAGTTTTATGACAGGAACTTGACAGATTAACAGAACCCACTTCCCCCTAAAGAAGTGCAGCTTTGTAAATATAGATGGATTTAAAGGTAATAATCATGTACATGATAGGAACATTTGTAAACCATTTTTTGTAAAGTCTGGTATAATATTTAAAAGAGATATTCTTTTTTTTTATTTTACATGTGGATCCCAGTTATCTCTCCCTCCCTCCTTCTTACCCTCTCTCCCCCCTCACATGCACCCTGACCACCCTCCCCTCCCATCCCCCCACCCCAATTCCACATGTAGGGCAATGTCATCCAGGTCGGTCATGTAAATCTGTCAAGTCATTTGAAGTAGGGACTAGGACTTCTCTCCTGTCTCTAGGTTAAGGTAGTATCCCTCCATGGGAGGGGGGGATGTGTCTGCAACATCCTTTTGTGCACCAGGAATACATCCTGGTTCCACTGTCTGAGGTCACTTAGACTGCTTAGTCCTTCTATCTGAGACCCATATTCAGGGGGTCTGAGTCAGTCCCATGCTGGATTATCAGCTATCAGTCTGGGGGCCCCTTAGCTCCCTCTTGTTTGGATCAGCTGTCTCTATGTGTTTCTGCAGCCTGGTCTTCTCCTCTCCCTCTGCATCTGGATTCTAGTTAGACTCAGTGTTTAGTTATGGGTGTTGCTTCTGTTTCCAACAGGTACTAGATGAGGGCTCCATGATGGTGGATAAGTTAGTTGTTGATCTCTCTATCCGGGAAGGGCATTTATGGTAGCCTTTCCACTGTTGCTCAAATTGTTAGTTGGCAGCAGTCTTGTAGGTCTCTAGACCTTTCTTTAGGTTCAGTTTTCTCTTCAAACCAATAATGGCTCCCTCTTTTATGTTTGTTCTCTCTCTCCTGTCTTCTAGTCACATGTGCTTTCCTCTCCTCCCCTTCTCTTTCTCCTACTTCTCTCTCCATTCACTGCCCCACCCACTTCCCATGTGCTCTGGGGGACTTGTCCCTTCCCCCCTTCTGTGAGGGGCTTTATATGAATCTTAAAAGAGATATTCTTAAGAAATATTATTTCAAGACAAGAAATTTGTTGTATGCGAATCTTCCTAATATCTAATATGACCCACCCTCTAGTAGCCTTATCTTGGCCTTTGAATTCCCATTCAACCCTGTGGGCATCCTCTTGTTAAAACTAGAGATGATGCTTACATCCTTTGATAGTTCCAGAGTTCAGTCTCTATGATTTTTAATTTATAAACTGAAGAAGGAATTGAGATAAATATTTTCTTTATTTCCTTTACCCAGTATAATATATTGCTTACTTAAAACCCCCCAGAAGATTTCTAGTGCCCTAAGGAAAAAATATAAATATTTTTCATAAAATACTTAAAATCTTCAAACTTTCTGACCCTCACTTCCTTCCCCTTTCATTGTTTATGAATCATTTGTGTTAATCTTCTTATTCATGAAACAATGATAAGTTGTACTCAGCTTGGGACTGCATTAGCTACATGTGATTCCCAGAAAGCAGTTACTTGGGGAGTTCTTCCCTTCCTCCCTGCATTGAAGTAGCTATCCACTGGGCATCATATCAACATAATTTTGTTCTTGGACCATTTCTCTCCCTCTCCTTTTTCCTTACTCCCTCCCTCTCTCTGTGTGTGATTTGTTTCACTGTGGTACCTATAATCAACTGAACACTTTGCAAATTCTTGATAAGTAACTGATAAATGAATGAATAAATGTGTAAAACAAAGTATGAGCACACACAAACTTTGCTGACTAACTTCTTCTACTCTTTGTAGCAAAATGTAATACCATCTCCAATTGAAGGAGAAACAAGGGATCTGAAGTAAGTGAAAAATAAGAAGTATCTACCTTGATCTCATTTTTCCTTGCTTTCCTTTTTATACAAACCTTTAACCTTTAATTGGGTCATTCAAGGCTCCTGTTGGTTTTCTATCCCTGAACCCTTTTTTCAGACAGTTTTCTCAGTAACCCATATCTCTCAGAACAGAGGCCGTTGCAGCCTTCTTGGTTCCTCTCTCTCCCAAATTCTAAAACCTGATATTTTGTTTCTAAACCTAATTAAACATACTTTGCTTTGTTTAACAGATTTCGCTAATACAAAAGTCTGAACATTTATATTTACATATATTTTCATGACATACCCAAGTATATCATTAAAACTCTCCCTTGCCTCTGGGTGTTCTAGCCTAACTTCTTTCTTGAACAGTGACTATGATTACATACTACTTTTTATCTCATTGTATCTACTGAGGTAACAACAGCTGAGATTGGATGCATTACTAATATTGGCCTTTCTAAGATTTTTTTCTTTAAACACACACACACACACACACACACACACACACACACACACACACACACACACTAATTCCAGGTTCCTGAGATATAAAAACAAAAAGCAAAAAGCACTGTTCCAAAGGGTTTACCTTGGAGAGCTCCTGTCCAGGGCCACACTGTTGGCAGGTGACACAATGTCCCCATTGGTCCTGGTACTCATTTTCTTGACAATCCATGATGAAAACACTGTGGATACAGAAAACAATTCCTACTGAGATAAGCAAAAATTAAGTGGTTTCCTTGACACCTGGCTTCTGTGTCTTCTTAACTGTGACTTTTAGTGACAATGGCCAAGGAAACCGACTTAAAATAACTACAAGTTTTAAAGTACTGAGCATGTGCCCAGAACTCTTCTAAATGCTTCCTCTGTGACAATACATTCAATTATCAAAGAATAATGACACAAATTATTATTAATGCCATTTTACAAGTATAAGGAAGAAAAGCACATGGACAAAAATTTTTCAGCTAGTGCTTATACCAGGAGCTCACAATCAATAGACAGATAGATAAAGACAGGCAGATAGATAATTAAAACAGTTGGATTCTTTCTAGTGGGTACAATTAAATGTGTGAAAAGCTCTTCAGCATTTAAAAATCACTTTTACACTTATTTTATTTGTAAATACTTCCAATATTTTCTGACTTAAGCAATGTAAAAATAATCTTTATTTGTGAATGAAAAAATTGAAACATGATTCTCATTTGAAAAAGTGTCTGATTGCACCCAGACAGCTTTTTTGAGAGGATTAAATGTGTTAATTTGCTTCAAATCTTCATGAAGGTATTGAAGAACTTAAAAGTAAAACAGTGTAAGTATGGAGACAGCCTTAAACATACACTCATTTATTATAACAGTGATCACAGAATATATACATGTGCCTGTCTCTCAAAATAAATAAATAAAAAACAAAACAAAAAAAAAAAAAAAACAAGAAAGAAAGAAAAGAAAAACTCTGACAGGGTTTTTTTTTTTTTTTTTTTTTTTTTTTTTTTTTTGTCACACTCTCAGTCTCATTTAAGACTATATTTCAGGTGAGTCCTCAATGTATATGGACAGTGTGACCACCAATCATCTCCACAAAGGTCACCAATAGAAATAGATTTCCTGGCTGGCATTTTTGTTGAAGCATAACTTTTCTTATAACTCTTCCTTCCCAGTTCTTCATTCAGTGGAAGGTGTCCTAGGAAGACTACTTTTGGCACAAAGTGAATACACTTTCTCTTCTGTTGTTTGTCAGTCTCAGAGGGCAAGTATCCTCTTATCAATATACTTCTCATTGAAGAAAAAAAAATATTAGTAGTCTCATTACCCTCAATGACAAGGAATTTAACATTATGGTAGCAAATCCAACATAAAGTATCTATTTCTCTTGTATAGTTTTCTTTAAAAAACAAACAAAAAAATCAGAAAAACACTGAAAAGGTCCCAAAAGCAAACCTTCTTAGGTGATAACTTCTTAACACAAGCACTGAAAATTTTCATGGCTGCTGCTGGCCTTAGAGATATGGGAGACCTTATTTTCAGTTTGGTTTCCAAAACCAAAACCACCCAATATACATTAAATTGCCTGAATCTTAGTATCACCCTTTAACCCTGATTTGAGATTGCTGTCTAGGTAGACTTCCTGCCAAATAGATATACCAGGACACAGTAAATAAGCATAGGGTTACTTTGTCTCTCATTTTTTAAATCAGAACAGTTATCACAAACACAAATTAAATTATATTTTAATGGGAATTTAAATATAGACAGAAATTTCTGTTTATCACCTGGTCCCACTGCCAGTTAGACCAGGATAAACACACAGAGGCTTATATTAATATAAACTTTTTGGTTAATGCTTCATGCTTCTTATTGGCTAGATCTCTCTTAATTATTAACCCATTCCTATTAAACTATGTATTTTCATGAGGATGTGGTGGCTACATGTCATCTGCCTGGTAGCTCCTCTCTGCCTTCCTCTTCCCAGCATTCCTAGTGCAGTAGCTCCACCTATACTTCCTGCCTGTCTACTGGCCATTCAGCATTTATTCACCAACAAATAAGAGAAATATATATTCATCGAATACAGAACAACATCCTCCATCATTTGAAAATACTTTTTATTAAAAAAAAAGAAAGAAAAAGAAAACAATGCGTATGCTAGACTGTTGTAAGAATCCTGGTTATATGGATAAAACTTCCTAATAAGTAATAAATGTCATCACCCATCAGTAATGTGAGGCCTTATATGAAGTTGTTTGCTATACATAGTAGTGTCCTATAATACATGCTAATTTATGGTAAACATATGAAACAATAATTATGCATTGCAAATACAATTATTCTTAAATATCCTAACACTGACTCTATCTTCCTACAAAGTATTACAGAAGATGGAATTTTGAGTAAGTCAGTCTGACCTATGAATTTTCTAGTAAAGAACTCTTAATGCCCAACAGGAAGTTATTCAGAAATGGTAATCCAACAGAGCTCAATGCTTGTTAGTTTGTGATCACACTTACTTTCCTGGTCTGTGATTAATTATGTGTGTGTCTAGGAAACTTAGAATTTTTCTCGCTCTAATATTGCCTTTCCAGGTAGTGTAATGTAAACCCATGTCAAGGAGACTTTGATGTGAATCACAACCCTGACATTTACTACACTTTACAATGGTTTTATTTTTCATAACACTATTCATTTAACCATAAAATTTGATATTTTAAAAATAAAAACCTTCCACACATTTTTTGTAAAGAAATAAATGTTCTTACATATGTTAAAGGACCTAGTATAGAGCTGTGTGTGAGTGTTACTTCATGGTATTAAGTAATTTCGCTTTTCATTTGCCCCGAGGTTACCACAAACATTTAAGAAGTATGAAGAACTCAGAGGAATTTGCCTTTGTCACTCCAGATATTTGTAGGAAAGGAAAGGGTAAAGCGTTTAAAAAAATTCAATGGCCAAACTTCATCAGGAATATGGAAGTCATGCCAAAGAAATGGGTGTTTCCAGAATACATCCCTTCTTGTTAACTTCTCCCACCAATAACATGAGGTGTAAGAATAGGTTTACTTCAATATGTGTAGTATCTATGTCACCTTCGTTAAACTGAACATTATATTAGTATTTGCTGAATATTTTTCATCAGAATATTCCTATATAAGAAATCAGTGGACAAGGTCTAGAATTTTTTCTTGGATCATTACTTCTGAAGTGGAAGTATAAAGAAAAATATTAATTGGGGATGATATTAGGGACTTTATCGCGTAGCAGATCATTTCCTCCAGAATAATCACTCTCATTTTCACATCTTAATACTGTAGCATATCTCTGACATAGGACTGTGTTCTTTTTATATAATTACATTAGTGGAAACATGGAAGATAAAAGGGAATATCAGGCATCTCTTGTCTCCTATCCTGGAGCATGACACAGGCTGGGTGAGGTTCTTGCTATTTCTGCCAAAGTTCACAATGTATTATTCAAATGTACCAGTACAGGCCGCACTAAAAAATTCTGCCTCCACCCTGCCCAGCAACAAGGGAAGAAAAATATAGACAAAAAATTAAAATAACAAATGAACATTGAACAAAGCCAAGATTCACTAGACAAATTCTGTGGTTTGTGACAGGAAGTAATATCCAGGTAAAGATGTAGAACCATTACATTGTCTACTCAGGTTCCCTTGTAACTTTTTTCCAGTAAATATTACCCTTTCCTGTAGGCAACTGCCATTCTAGTTTCTGTCATTATATTTTCACTGTCATTTAATATCATATAAATTCAAATATAAGACATTACCTTTTTGTTTCTTGTTTATATGAGTTTTTTCATAAGAATCATTAAGATGCATAATTTAAGATTATTTGATGCTTAAGTCCAAATGAATCAAAGACCTCAACATAAATCCAGCCACACTGAACCTCTTAGAAGAGAAAGTGGGAGGTAACCTTGAAAGAACTGGTGTAGGAGTCCACTTCCTGAACATAACTCCAGTAGCACAGACACAGTGATCAAAATCAACAATTAATAAATGAGGCCACCTGAAACTGAGAAGCTTTTGTAAGGCAAAGGATACAGTTGACAAGACCAAACAGCAGCCCACAGACTGGGAAAGATCTTCACCAACCCTACATCTGACAGAGGGTTGATCTCCAAAATATACAAGAACTCAAGAAACTAGTCACCAAAACACCAAATAACCCTATTAAAAATGGGGTACAGAAGTGAAGAGGGAATTCTCAATGAGGAATCTAAAATAGCTGAAAGACACATAAGAAAGTGCTCCGCATCCTTAGCTATCAGGAAAAAGAAAATCAAAACAACTTTGAGATACCATCTTACTCCTGTCAAAATGGCTAAAATCAGAAACATCAATGACAACTTATGCTGGAGAGGATGTGGAGAAAGGGGAATACTCATCCACTGCTGGTGGGAATGCAAACTTGTTCAGCCAATTTGGAGATCAGTATGGTGGTTCCTCAGGGAAATGGGAATCAGTCTATCACAGTACCCAGCAATCTCACTCTTAGGCATATACCAAAATGATCCACATCCATGCAGCAAAGACACCTGTTCAACTATGTTCATAGCAACATTATTTGTACTAGAAAGTACCTGGAAACAACCTAGATGCCCCTCAACTGAAGAATGGATAAAGAAGATGTGGCACATTTACACAATGGAAAAAAACAATGGAATTTTGAAATTCTCAGGCAAATTGATGGAACTTGAAGAAACCATCAAGTGTGGTGACCCAGTCATAAAAGGATGATGATGGTACGTACTCAACTCATAAATGGATTTTAGACATAAAGCAAAAGATCACCAGCCTACAATTCACACCACCAGAGAAAATAGGATACAAGGAGGAACCTAAGTGATTCATACAATGTCCCTCAGAGAAGGAGAAAGGGATGAGATCTCTTGAGCATATTGGTGGGGGTAGTGCAGTGAGTGAAGCAGGAGTTACGAAAAGTGGGAGGAGATAAGAACATGTGGGAGCAGGAAAATTGAGTTAGCAGATGAATAGACGACAGCAAAAAAAAAAAAAAAAAAAAAAAAAAAAAAAAAAAAAGAAGAGATAGCCTAATAGCGGGAGCCATTATAGATTGGAAGAGAAAAGTGACTCTAGAGAAATGTTCAGAGATCTATAAGGGTGACCCCAACTAATAATCTGAGCAACAGTGAATGCCCTTCC